TCAGAATAATCGAAAACCGGTGAAATATCAGGTGGTGTGTACTTCCGAATGTCCAGCAATTCGTCTCTGGTGAAACTGATTGCAGGGATATAACTAAAGACAGCACAAACTAACAAAAACATAAAAACAACTGCGGAGCCATCAGCGTCGGAGCCATCGCGAAGACGATGGAAGGAAGGAAGAAAGGAAAAAAGTAAAAAAGAAAGGAAGGAAGGAAAAAATAAAGAAAGGAAGGAAGAGAAAGGAAGGAAGAAAGAAAGAAAGAAAGAAAGAAAGAAAGAAAGAAAGAAAGAAAGAAAGAAAGAAGGGAAGAGAAAGGAAGGAAGGAAGGAAGGAAGGAAGAAAGAAAGGAAAAAAGAAAGAAAGGAACAGAAAGAAAGAAAGGAAGCAAGAAATGAAGAAAGAAAGAAAGAAAGAAAGAAAGAAAGAAAATAAAGAAAGGAAGAGAAAGGAAGGAAGGAAGGAAGGAAGGAAGTAAGGAAGAAAGAAAGAAAGAAAGAAAGAAAGAAAGGAAGGAAAAAAAGAAAGAAAGAAAGGAAGAGAAAGGAAGGAAGGAAGGAAGAAAGAAAGAAAGAAAATAGCAACTTTAAATCTCACAAATGATACATTTTCCTCACATTTCTGATGTTTTTTCTCAGAATTGCAAGTGAAAAGTCTGAATTGTGAAAAATAAACTCAGATTTGCAATAAAATAAATTCAGAATTGCGAGTTTAAAAAGTCTGAGTTAATGAGAAATAAACTAAGAATTTCGAGAAATAAACAGTGAGAAAGAAAGTTCAAATTCTGAGATTGTGAGATATAAACTTAATATTGGGAGACAAAAGTCTGAACTGTACGATACAAAGTTGCAATTACTTTTGTATACTTCTATTGTGTGTTGGAGATGTATGTGTAATGTAATAACACAGAGAAAACTCAATATCTGTGATTTCAGGATAAAATTGGAGATGAATTGAAGAGCTCAGAGACGAACACAAACTCACTGAATCGAGGCTCAAAGGTGAATATCATCCTCAGATAATAAAAGAGGATCAGTGTCAGGTGTTTCTTTCTTTCTCTAATGAGTTCTGTATCGTGTTAAAGCTCATTGATGGCACAGATGAGTTTTTCGCTCCAGAAGAAGAAGAAGAACAGAATGAAGCTGCCGAGTATAAACCCGTATGAAGCTCTTTATTTCTGAATCCTGATTGTTTCAGTGATTTCAGATTCATGTGTTTCATAGCAGATGTGTTTTTCTCTCTCAACAGAAGAAGTCAAAACCCAAGATTATTACACACCGCAGAGGATCTAAGGTAAAACGTTACCTTTACAGCCAATAAAAGTTTGCATTTTAATTATATATAAAAAAATTAAGTAAATAAATAAATAAATAAATACAAATTAAAAAGTTTTTAATTAATAGTTATAATAGTTTTGTTTTTTTTACTTTTCAAATAATAAAATAATTTTAATACTTTTAAAATTAAATAATATACAATACATTTAGATTTTTAAATCATTTATAAATTATTTTATTAAAAAGAAATAAGTGCATAATATAAATTAAATAATTTATAAATATATAATGTAGAAATTTGTAATTTATACATCATAATATAAACAATATATAATGTATTATATACATTGCAATATTTAATTTAATTTAATTTAATTTAATTACAGAGTTGATCCTGCAAAGACCTATCTTATTTTATTATTTAACTTATAATAAGTCTCATATAGTCCAATTATATTTTGATGTTTCCCAGAACTGTTTGTTGAACCCTAAGACAAAAGGCGGCTCATTTTCCAATTTTGGACACAATTTTATAATCAATATAATAGCAAGCCGTTTATATTTTCATTGAACACTTTTAGTGATGCTTCCAGATACATGATTGTTAATAAAAATACTATGTTCTGGTGAATCGTTTAATTATTGGCTGATGGGATAATGATTTATAATATGTGCCATTATATTGTCAAGGCAACTGTAACGTATTATAGCTTAATTGATGATGATGTTCATTTACATCTTCAGGTGAAATCTGCTGAAGCTTCAGCTAAAGTCACTCCAGACTTTAAGGTTTGTTTAGAGCGACTCTGTACTTCAATAATCAGTTTATTGATGTTAGAGATGAGCACCATTTGAATTCTCACATTAGGATGATTTAACGTCCTCATCGAAACACGCGGATCTCGTGGCTTTGGGAGAGAAGAAAGCAGAAGATGTGGACTGCAAACCGGTACAAACACACAATATTTCTCTTTGTGGTTGACATGCTGGGATTTGAGTGTTCGCTCTCGATTATTATTATTATTAATACTAATAATAATAATTGTTTATTAATATTTTACTTTTTGTATTTGTATTTATTTATTTTTGCAGAAGCAGCTGCAGAAATTCAAGCCTCCTGTGCCACGGCGACCATCAAAGGTAATGTATTCTGTGTTTGCATGTTTATGAGAAATATAATGAGCTTTAGACTGAAAGCATGGATTTTAAATCCATAAACCAACAGGAACCCATTCTTAGAACATTCAGGAATGAACACTCTCTCACACACACACAAACACACTCACTCACTCACTCACTCACACACACTCAACTCACTCACTAACTCTTCATAATTCAATGAAGTTTTAATCTACATAACTCTTATTTTCATCTTTGCTCTGGCATTATCTATTGTTTTTTTTGTTTGTTTTTTTTACTAAAATTAAAAGCATAACATCATTTTTTTGTTGTTAATTGAAATAAAATAAATGTTAACTGTTTATAAATGTTAGATAAAATAACATATTTAAAAAAACTATAAAGAAAACATTTATAAAAAATATTTTATTTCAGACAGTTGCAAAAGCAAAGTTTCTAATTTAGTTACACTGGAAGTACTGCAATAACTAAAACTAAAATAAAAACGTTTTTTTTTTTACGAATAAAAATGACAAAAACATGCAACAAAATTGATAATACTTTAAAATTAAAATGAAGACAAGATTAAAATAAAATATGAATAAAAACTATAATAGTATCTGATTTTCTGCTGATTATTTCAGGATATGTCTGCAGTTGCTCTGAAATCGATGAATGGTCCTCTGATGGAGGCAAAGGTATTTTCACTGGCCTTTTGCAGATATTTTTGCCATATAAACATACACAGAGTAAAGACAAACCAGAAAAGATAGAAACATGATGGACGGAAAGAACATAAAATAAAGCGACTAGATTTTTTTCAAGCTTATTTGAATTTGAATCTTAAATGTGTCATTATTTGAAACTGTGTGTGTGTGTGTGTGTTATTTGCAGTCCTTCTCCAAAGATCCCTTTTTGGAAGGAGATTTAGATCTTGGCGCTTCAGTCCAGGACAGTCATCAGGTGAAGCAGTTTTCTAGTTTTGTTTGTTTCTCTGACGGAGAGTGATCTCTGTCACACACACACACACACACACACACTCTCACTTCTGCATTCAGAGAGCGTGTCTGATAAGAGCTACTGTTATCTGCTCATGTGATCTCAGCGTGAGAGTCAAAGCATTCCTTCCAAACCCATCAAAGCAGATGCTGGGAGCTTTCACATTAAAGAAATTCTGTAATTCAGTGCAATTCAATTCAATTTTTTCTACAGCAGATAGATAGAATAGAATAAAATTGGGGGGGGGAGGGCTTAAAGGAGATGAATGAGGAGATAAACATAATTTAATTAAAAAAATAAAAATAATTTAATTAAAAGTAAAATAAATCTGTTTAATATGATTTATTAAATTAATATGTTGTATAGAAATTATAACCAATGAAATCATATAGTAACTCTCTTATTCACAATTGTACATCTTTGCCCAAAGCAGCATAGAGTAGTGAACTAAGTCTATGTTTCTAAAGTTTTACCAAATTCATGAAGTTTTAATATAGTGAACACACACACACACACACACACACACACAGACACACAAACACACAAAGATGATGAGAGATGACCTTACTGTACCTATGCAGAATAAAAATGCTTTTTTCCACAACGCTGATGTCTTCAAAGTAACACACACACCATCTTCTTCTGTAGATGCCAGACATCGACACACATCTGGATGATGAAGCGAGAAACACAAAGGAGGCTGACGGACAGGTAGAGATCTTTCTGCTTTGTCTTTCATTTTTCATTAATGCATTATTTTACTTACTGTTAGTATTATTGTAATAATATTTTTAGCAGAAACCGAAAAAGAAAGTGCGAGTTAAGTTTGTTCCTCACAGAGGGTTTGTTATCGGTTTATCCAGGGTGAGTCCTGATGCCATTTCTGCTTACTTTCTCTCTGTTCGAACACTTTGTGTTAGTATTATGAATTGTGCATATAATTGATTGTTTCTTCTTGTTGTTTATTTGCTTATGGGTTGACAAGGCTAATCCTGAAGCAAAGGAGGAAATACCACATCTTAAGGTAGAATGGTTTTCAAAACAGTATATTATAGTTTACTATTTACTGGATACTCTTTTTTTATTTTTAAGTGTAAATGTGGCAGTGTTATTTTACAATCACTGATATATTTTTATTGTATTAATAGTTTAAATGAAATTGTATTTATATTTACACATTTTGTTTTTGTTTGTTTTTTATTAGTTAAAAATATATTGTCAAACTATGAATGCAATCTTTAAAAACAAACAAAAATAGCATAACATTTCGGCAAAGAAGTGCAAAAGCATTGCAAAGATTCTGAACTGTGCGCTCAAGGATGTTGTAGATGCATGTTTGTTTTTACTACTATTTTTATGCATTTGTTTTTTATTTCAAGGGACAAAAATATATATATATATATTTTTTTTTTTTTTCGTTTTCATGCATGTTTTAAGTGAAGAAGATGTCCAGCATCATGAATAAACCAGATCTCTTTGAGTTTTAAGGGATTCTGTTTCGTGTTTATTTTGGCAAACGTTGCTGTTCATCTTTGCATCTCATGCAAACATATTAGTATAGTGTGTTTACAGTAGATGTGTGTGACGTCTGTGTTACAGGAGAGTGATGACTCTGAGCTGAAGGGAGCTTGTGGATTCACTCCTCCTCCAGATCTGAAGGTTTGTCCGAGTCGTGTGGATCTTCATCAAATCCTCCGCTTTGTGTCTGTATGTTTAACATTCACTGTGCTTTTAGGATGATGACGGGTCTGATGATCTGAAGGGTTACAAAGCTCACGAGCTGAAGGTAGAGAAGACGTCTACATGAGAACATGGGTTTGATTTCTGTGTCCGTTCACTGATATCCTCGAATATATGTTTTTAGGAAGACACATTACTGAAAACTGAAGCTGGACGGAGTTATTCACCCAACAACGTTCAGGTTCAGACTACTTATTCTCACACAATCTCATATTCTGCTCAATTCTGGTGAGATTATTGTTTATATGACTCGTGTCTTTTCTAGAGTTCATATTCTAATGGCTTTATGAGTCCTCCTTCGTGGGATTCAAAGGTAAGAAACAGCACTAATTATTAAACGTACTACAAAAACAAGATTCAAAAATCCATCAATTCTGCTCATTCATTATGTTTTTTTTCAGGCGTCTGATCTGGAGACGGATCTCTTCACAGCGTCAGACAGCTATGAGAAACATCCGGAGATGACAGACTGTCGACCGGTGAGCTTTCAGAAAGCTCTTATGATCGCTGTGATGATTTTAATTGCATTTTAACTTTGTTTCTTCACCGTTTGTGCAGAAGAAATCACTGAAGTTTAAAGTCCCTCGCATTCATCGCAGACATTCAAAGGTAAAGCATCAAACTCAGAGCCGAGAGAAAGAGATTCTTTTAGTTATTCTTCCATTTTTGTTTTAATTTTAAAGTTTTAGCACATTTGTTTGTCATTTTGATTAGTTTTTGCTTTTATTTTATAGTTTATACTAATATTTTGAATTCATTTTTATTTTTATATCGTCCACTTTCATTTTTATTTTAGTTCACATTTTAGTATCTTTTTTGTGTTTTTGTCATTTTCCTAGTTTTTTTATATAATAGTTTGTTCATATTTTGAATTCATTTTTATATCTTCCATTTTCATTTTAATTCACGTTTTAGCTATTTTTTTGTGTTTTTGTCATTTTAATAGTTTTTTAATATAATAGTTTGTTCATATTTTGAATAAATTTTTATATCTTCCATTTTCATTTTAATTTTAGTTCACTTTTTAGCTATTTTTTTGTGTTTTTGTCATTTTCATAGTTTTTTAATATAATAGTTTGTTCGTATTTTGAATTCATTTTTATATCTTCCATTTTCATTTTCATTTTAGTTCACGTTAGTAATGTTAATGCGTTTTATTAGTTGTTTTAATATCATATTAAATATTAATTAATATAAAAATATAAAAATTGTTATGATACTATAAAGCTATATCTTTTTTTATTCGTTTAAATTTCAGTTTAAATCATTTTAATACTTCATGTTAAATTTAATGAAAATGAGACAAGTTGCCTTGCTGAACTATTTTTATTCTATTTTATTTGATTTAACATTTATTTTATTTCAAGTAATGTTTTTTTTAAGGTTTTAGTTGTAGTCCACAATAAACCCCTGGCTTTAGATTGCTTAGATAGATCATTCAAAATATTCTGCCCATTTATTGAATATTAAATGATCTACAGTAGCAGTAATTTATATTTATTACTTAAAAGAGCAACTGAAGCAAACACAAAGTTGCCAGAAATCACTGATGTTTGTGTTTTCTAGAGTATTGAAGACCCTGAGATCAAGCAGAGCAAAGATCGTGACGCTTCAGAGGTGAACAAAGCTGTTATTAACTTCATGTTTCAAATATGTCAAAATTTCACTTCATCTCATTTCAAGGGAATATTCTGGGTTTACTGCAGATTGTATGTACATCTATCTCATGTAGTGTGATACTGTATGAGGTTTTTCTTTCTTTCTAAACCAGTGACAAGTCAGTATTATTTTCTGCAGCCAATTTGTGTCGATTGTAGTCCATTTCCGATTATTTTCCCAACTAAATTTCTAAAAATGTTGCAGATGAAGAAGCCGCCTCTTCTTAAAGTGCCGCCGCTGCCCCACCGAGACTCAAAGGTGAGCGACTGCTTTCTTCTGAACTCACCGTTTAAGCGTCAGGATTTTGATGATATTGTCATGGATGTCTCCAGAGCTTGGAAGATGACGAGTTCCCTCAGAAGGGTGCAGATCTGTTCAAGGCGGGAGACGTAGAGCTGGCGGAGGACGCAGGCTGGGAGGAATACACGCCGGTAACTTTATCATTTCATTTTCATGCTTTTGCTGGCGTTCACAAAAACACGTTTAACGCTGAAGGTTCCTCTCGCTCAGGATAATAAACCACAGAAACCTAAAGAGACTGACACACATCGCAGAGGGTCAAAGGTAAGTGTGCGTTCGTCTTCAACGACAGTCAACTCATTCACTACATCTTCATCTCATATCATCTGTCGACCTGCTTTTCTCAGACTGAAGACATGAAGGAGTTTCCTGAAGAGTTTCTGGATCCTCCAGGGGCCACGGCTGGAGACCTGTCTGATGCTGCTAAGGTACATATCAATGCTCATTTTTACAAAGATGTATACATACATTACCATTCAAATCTTTGAAAGAAGTGTTTTCTGTTCACCAAGGCTGCATTTATTTAACCAATCTGCATGGAATGACCCTCTACAGTAATCAAAGTATCTCTTAACTCTTAGGATCTGTATTATCTTTTAGTCTACCTTTGTAAGATTAAGACCATTGTACCACTCGCCCTGAGACTATTCAAATGATACCAAACACGACTGTAAATCTTATTTGCATTCATATAGAACATGATATTCTTGACCATTCTGAGTGTGCTGGGTGAAGAGAAGGATGGGTGAGGGGAAGGAAGGGGATGAGGAGGAACCAATGCATATGTGAGAGACATTTTCCCGCATTTTCTCTCAGTGAGATGTGGAGACAGATGTCTGTATGTTAATGCACTGTGTGTGTATTGTCTGTCTCAGAAGATCAAAGTGTCTGAGGTTCTGTAATTCTTACACAGGGAACACACATACTGATAAGAAATGTATAGCTTGAATGCACTGTAAGTCGCTTTGGATAAAAGCGTCTGCTAAATGCATATATCTCTTAACTCTTAGGATCTGTATTATCTTTTAGTCTATTTTTATTAAGACCATTGTACCACTCGCCCTGAAACTATTCAAATGAAACCAAACATTCATATAGAACATTATATTCTACCATTGACCATTCTGAGTGAGCTGTGTGAAGAGAAGGATGGGTGCGGGGAAGGAAGGGGATGAGGAGGAACCAATGCATATGTGAGAGACGTTTTCCCGCATTTTCTCTCAGTGAGATGCGGAAACAGATGTCTGTATGTTAATGCACTGTGTGTGTATTGTCTGTCTCAGAAGATCAAAGTATCTGAGTTTCTTTTATCCTTACAGTATAAATCTCAATTTCGAAAAATTGACACTTAAGACTGGTTTTGTGGTCCATGGTCACAAATAATATTTCAATTTAAAACAGTTGTTTTCTATGTGAATATCTGTTAAACTGTAATGTATTTCAGTGATGCACAGCTGAATTTTCAGCATCATTACTCCAGTCTTCAGTGTCACATGATCCTTCAGAAATCATTCTAACATGCTGATTATTAGAAACATTTCTGATTATTATCAATGTTGAAAACAGGTGTGCTGCACAATATTTTTGTGGAAAGCGTGATCTATTTTATTTTTCAGGATTCACAGCTGAATAGAAAGTTCAAAAGAACAGCATTTATTTGAAACAGAAATTTTTTGGAACTTTACAAATGTATTTACTGTCACTTTTGATCAGTTTAATGTGTCCTTGATGAATAAAACTCTATATTTCTATACATATTTGATTACATGTACATATATGAAATTTGACCTAGAAAATCGGGCACGATTTTCTGGATATGATTATTGTTAATAAAAGGTATGAAATTGCTAGTCATTTCTCTCATCCTTGTCTCTCTGTAAGGCTGAGTGGATGTCGGCTCAGATGGACATGAGACGACTGAGAGTTCAAGAGGAAGAGCAGCAGCAGGAGGCAGAGGATGATGAAGGGGTAATCATCCTTCCTCATCATGTTTACTTTATTCCATTCATTATGTCTGTAGATTCTGTTTATGCTGTAGCACGTATTTGTGCTCATTTCCATTCACTTTCTCTTGATGTGATGTTGAGTCTGTTGTCATAATTGTGTGTTTTATTGGCAGGACACTGACAGTCTGATGGAGTGGTGGAATACAGTCGAGTGTGAGTTCATTAAATCATCCACTAATTCACCACACACACATCAGATCTGAGCCGTTTAACATTCAATCTTTGTATTTTCAGTTTGGGATGAAATACCTGCTAATGAGACGATCAGCACTAAAGAAGAAGAGACCATGTAAGACTTCATCAATGATCTTCATGCTGAAAACAAAAAAATCATGTTCTCCCTCAGTATTTTTCTCTTGTTTTCTATTTTATCAATGATTGATTGATTGATTGATAAGTTTTGTTTTCTGGAAAAAATATCAAAATTAAGTGCATTTTTACTTTACAAAGAAAAAGAAGCTTAATTTGAAGGCAAAACAAGGTTCTTTTTCAGATTTTTTTTCTTGTTTTAAGGGAGTATATGCTTAAAACAAACACACACACACACACACACATATATATATATATATATATATATATAACCACAATATTCTGAGTGCACTGGCAGATATTTGTTCACACTTAATTTTAGTAAAAAACAAGACTTATTATCTTAGTCATTTTGAATCTTAAGTAAATGTATTTTGTACATTTTACATTTTTAAATAAAGATACATTTACTTGAGAAGTAGGTAAATGGACTGTTTTCTGAAAAACAAAACATTTTGTGAGTTTGTGTTTAAAACTAAAAATGTCTGCCGATTGGGTCAGAAAAATAATCTTGCTTTTGAATTAAGTTTATTTCATACTCATTTGAATTTGATACTTTTTTATGAAAACAAGACTTAACATCTTTAAGTCATTTTGCTACAGAATCTTGATTTTGTTTGTATTTTTGTATTTTTTCCAGTACAAATATCTAAAGTAAGATAATCATTTTTTTTCAGCGTTGATAAACCATCTGATGATCTGGTCCTCTAGGTGTCTAGTTTGGTCTTGACTCCATCTCTGTTTTCAACTATCACACAGAAGCCAAACACTCAGTCTTCATTAAGCCGTTCTCTGTGTCTCCTGTCAGATCGTTTAAAGCGGTCGCTGATAAGGTCCACCGCGGTCTCCGCGTGTATCTGAAGCTCTTCATGGAGCGTGCCGAGCTGCTCTACCAGCACGTGCTGATCTTATACGACATCGCCGACGACCTCAGCAACTTCCACCACCGCACTAAAATCGCAAACATCACGGGAGGAACGACCACCGCGGTGGGAGGAGCCACGGCCATCGCAGGGCTGGCGCTGGTTCCCGTCACGTTCGGAGTGTCCATCATCATCTCGGCCATCGGACTGGGCGTCGCTACAGCGGGCGGCATCACGGCCGCTTCCGCCACCATCTCAGACACCATCAACAACATGCACGTGCGTATGTCCAGTGCTGAAGTGCACATGCACCCAGTTAATTAGTCAACCGGATGCTATTCTAAAGCCATATTAGGCTACTTTTCTTTTGTTTTCTTTTTTTCGGATCACAAAAGAAGAAATTATATATATATAAAAAAATAATAATAATGCTTGCACTTGTCCATTTAATGAATTGTAAACTTCTTCAATATTCAATAACACTCTAAAAAATGCTGGGTTAAATACAACCCAGCGCTGGGTAAACTATGTGACCCTGGAGCACAAAAGCAGTCTTAAAGGCAGGGTAAGCGATTTCTGGTAGCCAATGCTGATATTTGAAATCACCAAAACAAACACGCCCCTACCCGAAAAAGGTCTTGCCCCTATTTTGATAGCTCCGCCCCACACATACGTACGCAACCCAGGCAACGATTAGTTCTGTGAAACAAAGCAAAACCAATGTTACACCGTGTCTACATCAGGCGCGAGCGGCGTGGCGCAACAAATCCCCGACAGAAAACTGCTGCCGGGTTCTATTTATGACGTGCTGACACAAATTTCAAATGGTTTTCAACGGTCGTTTGATCGCGTCCAGTGTAGGCAGACTTTAGCTGTTGTAGACACGGTGTTACTCACCTATCGAGAAGAAACAAAGCAACCTCGGCGTCCGATCGCAGGCCTCCGCTCCTTGAGTTCTCTCCAGCGCTGGAAAGCTGATCCGATATTTACACGGGTCCTACTTCTTGCCTTATCGTTCCGCAGACGTTTTCCTCTTTTGTTTTTTATCCGCCATCTCTATCTTTCTGTCGCTCGGCTCGGCTCGGCTCGGCTAATGTCCGTCCTGTGCACTGAAATCGCTCTCCTCCGCATCACGAGTAGACACGCCCCTTATTGCTGATTGGCTACACGTTTGTTTTGCTATTCTGCCCGAAATCAGTTTTCTAAAGCGTTTTTGAAAAATTACATACCCTACCTTTAAGTCGCTGGGGTATATTTGTAGCAATAGCCAAAAATACATTGTATGGGTCAAAATTATAGATTTTTCTTTTATGCCAAAAATAATTAGGATATTAAGTAAAGATCATGTTCCATGAAGATATTTTGTACATTTCCTACCGTAAATATATCAAAACTTAATTTTTGATTAGTAATATGCATTGCTAAGAACTTCATTTGGACAACTTTAAAGGTGATTTTTTCAATATTTTAAATTTTTTTGCACTCTCAGATTCCAGATTTTCAAATAGTTGTATCTCAGCCAAATGTTGTCCTATCCGAACAAACCATACATCAATGGAAAGATTATTTATACCTTAGAGGTAAGGTATAAATCTCAATTTCAAAAAATTTACACTTAAAGGGATAGTTCACCCAAAAATGAAAATTCTGTCATCATTTACTCACCCTCATGTCGTTCCAAACCTGTATGAGTTGCTTTCTTATGTTGAACATTAAACTATATTTTGAAGATTGCTGGTAATCAAACAGTTGGTGGTTGCCATTGACTTCCATTTTTTTTTTCCTAGTATGGAAGTCAATGGCAACCACCAACTGTTTCATTTTTGGGTGGACTATCCCTTTAAGACTGGTTTTGTGGTCCAGGGTCACATATGGACAAGCCCAGCGATTGGGATGTTTTGACCCAGCGGTTGGGTTAAACATTTAACCCAACTGTTGGTTGAAAACAATCTAATCGCTGGGTTTGTCCATATTTTACCCAGCGCTGGGTTGTATTTAACACGGCATTTTTTAGAGTGAAAAAGGGTTCAAATGTCATAAAATTATCCCATGCAACTCATTCTGTATTCCAAGTATTCCTAAGCATATGGTAGGGTTTGCCGAGAAACACATCTAAAATGTAATTGATTAGTAAGTGAAAATCTCCAGTCGTCGCATGTGTGCATTTCTACGAGAGCGCAGCAGTTTACGCCGGCGCGCCTAGGAAAAGCAAACAAGAGAGTCATTTTGTAACATCAAGACAAACAAAACTATGACTTGAAACAGAATACTTTCTTTACTGAGGTGAATACCTCTGTTCTGAGACAGTATTATACAGCCTAGAATACGCGCAAAGAGCGCTCCATCTGTAAACACTAAAAGCTGTCATTCGCTTCAGTTCAGTTAATCCGTGAAGCTGTTTTATTAATCTCTAATTTACATCGTATCTACATGTTGTTATAATGAGAGGATTCGCGAGCTTGCAGAACTCAACACTTGACAAAAACTCGCCATTTTGAGCGAGAACACAACAGAACACAAATACACACTGGAGCATTTGCCAAATATCAGATGGGGCCCCCTGATTCCACAGGGGCCCTACGTGGCCGCTTACCTTGCTTATTGTTTAAGTCTGCCCCTGCATGCACCTGTTTTATGATTACAACATTTTAAGGTAAAAAAAAAGCCTTTTCTGCCATCTTACTTATGCTGACTTGGATCAGGGTTTATGTGGATCTTAAAGAGGTCTTAGAAAGTCTTAACTTGCTAAACATCCTTAAATCAAGATACATTTACTTAAGATGCAACGTGAACATATGAAGTCATGTTGAACACATTGCTTTCTGAGAAATGTAAAAAAATTAAGTGAGTTTATGCTGAACCCAAAAACAAATATCGATCAGTGAGGAATGAAAACTTGTTTCCCTTTTAATTAAGTTTATTTTTCTGTCTCTGTTGGCAGATATTTGTTGTTGTTTTAATCACAAACTCACTTTCTTTTGAAAAAATAACTCTGATATTTTCACTGGAAAACAAAGCTCAATTACTTAGGTCTTATAAAGGTCTTAAAGTCTTACATTTGCCCTCAATTCAAACCTGCAGAATACCTGATACATAT